ACCTCTTGAAATAACTTCTAGGGAAGAGGGTAACTGCCTGTTGCGTCATGAGGAACAGGCTAAGGGAACATTGACTTTCCAGTATAAAGTGTATTCCATACAACTACTATGACGGGAGGACACTTTCTGTTTCTGATAAGTCTGCGAAGTGGACTGGGTTACTAGTCACGTGTTAATACCTTGGTTAGACACGATCACTAAATGAACAGTAAATGGCAAGTAAAGGGGAAACTTGGTCAGGTGATACAAATTCGCGTTTGCCGTTTGACGTAAACGTGATGCTTATTTCTCATCGATACGCAAAGGAACATGAATCCCCCTCCCTCCCCTCCAATCCGATTCCCTCCCTTGGGGATAGTTCTGTCAGGGGAAACAACTGATTTAAACCCTTTTGACCCCTTTGGCAGTTTTTGGCCATGATACAAACCTGAAGATGGAAAATTTTTGCCATACTGTATTTTTCGATCGAATCTTGATCTGTTGACGGTACCCTCGGTTAGCTCCCTTTAAAATACAGTCTCGATCTTTTCTTTTATAATTTTAACTTGGACACGCTGTCCTTCTGTTCCTTGAATTTGACTGTTATTTCGAAATAAACGGATCGATGTTCGAAATTATCCCTTGCAATTTTCTATCGCGTGACTTTAAAAAGTGATTTTGAAATGTGGCACGAACAAAATCTTTTGCCAAAGTATAACAGCTGCCTTTCGCGTGACTATGAAATTGATCAAATTGAAAACATGTAAGTTGCCTAAGGATGCTTAATGTGTAAGCAGGAAAGCCTTTGCTGGCTTTATGCAGGTGCGGTCATAAGGTTCAGATGAGAAGTTGTTACTCAACCGACACGTAAAACAATAACAATCCCTTTTCGTTTTAATCCTTGCTGAAGTTTTGCGCCGGGAGGGTCAAGTTTTCCAGGAATTTCTTGTTAATTAATTAAATATCCCCTGTTTTACCCATTTTTATGCGGTGCTAACTACTATTGCTTGCGAATCAATCAAAATATTAATAAATCTTAACAGGAGCTTCCCTCAAAGATTCATAGTCATATTTTTACATTTTTTAAGTATCATAAGTAAACTTTCAAAAAAAAGGTTGTTTACTAATTTCGTCCTCGTGACCTACCACACGAGCGTTCGGGTTTCTTAATGCTTACACAAACAAATACGTGTTTACTTTTTGATATTAATTTAACAATTTTTTTGAAATCGACCGCCTTAAGGAGACCAAAGAACAAAATGACACTGTAATAATAACTGGTCTCTTGTTCTTTTCTTAAACGAACGCACGCAAAATAATATTGCTCCTCGAATCTTGTAATAAATGTATCTGATCAAGAGAGAGAGGGAGGGTTCAATATCAGTGGAAAAACTGGTGACAATCGAAGGTACTTGGCAAACTCAAAAGGCAATATAACATACCAGCCTTTGTGGATTTGATGAAAAAATAAACCTCTTGAAAGGTTAATTTTTGGGCCACCCCCAAGGCCTTCTAAAAGCACGCGACTTGCGGCTTGTAGTTGGCGTAAAATCAATAATTTAAGTTTACAAGTAAAGAGACGAAGAAGAAAATACCTTTCGTTTCTCTTGGCAAGAAAAGTCGTCGATGTTCTCCAAGAAAACTTGATCATCGTGAATAACGCGTTAATCTCGCGGTGATAGAATAATAAATTAATCCCAGTTTGACTCTTTGACCACATTATGGCGACAACAGGCAATTTCATTCATGGTAATTGATCTTGGAAAGATTTTCCTTTGCACCAGCTGAAATCTTTAAACACGTTTTCCTTCACGACAAAACGACCAAAGGCACTTTGTTTTACTCATTACCGCCGAGAGATCGAGTTTACTTTCCTTTTTCCCTACTTATTGATTAAATTTCTTTCCGTGTTAATTAACGTAGTGTAATACTTTTTACCTGTGAAGTAAAACTAGAAAAAGGCTGAAGGCTAACTACGTAAAAAAACTCCCACTTAATTAGCCCTTAGGCTCTATAATACATTTTGCAATGATATGACAAGCGTATTTTTGTATAGCCTTAGAAAAAGGCCGACATTTGGCGACCGCGCTACCACTGGTTTCCCCGTCGTCATTTGGCTGGGAAGCCAGTGTTCGCTTTGCCAATCGGCTGTTTTCTTAGGCTAATTTTTGTACTAAAAATTTTATTGCTAATTTTAAATTATTAGATTGACCACAAAAAGCAGCTATTAAAGTCTATCCCGTATCTACCTATCTCTGAGCTTTCAAATCTGCAGACGAAATCCTATGGTTACCGCCATTCAAATGAAACCTTTTGGGCTGAACTATCGCACAGTACTGTTTATTTCATAGGATTTTATGAAACAAAATTTTAATTGTTTGTATTGCAACTTTTTTTTTCTTCTTTCGCACCCTATTTGGATTGAAAAGGGGGCCTATTGAATTTTCCATTATCCCTCAGTTCCTTGTCTCTAGCTCGTAGACTGAGCTACGATGATATGATTTACCATTCAAACTTTTTTTATTCATTTCTGGGCTCTACTTTTCCTAGATGGAAAGAATTACCATCAAAGCCCCCATCACAGAAAATATTTAAGATTCCTTACGGAAGATGATCGTATATTTACCGTGATTTTCCGATGACGAAATAATGTCTTGTCCTTGGGATTGTAGTGGGAGTAGAAAAGATTGGACTGGTTTGAAGTGTAACTAAAAATAGATGGCAATGACCTGGTAACAAAGAATAAGACATGAGTTTAGACCTAATGGATTAAAAGAAAAAGAGAAAGGTTATTAGCATTGCAAATTCACAATGTTCTTTTAATAGAACAACCAACCTAAATAACCTACAATATTAAGTGAGTGCTCTCTTCAGGTCTCGCCTGGCTGACTCAGTGCCCTTATAAACAGCAAAAGAATAAACAACAGAGTCAATACCACTTGCCCGCGAAACAAAAACATTCTAACCTGTTCAGGGGCGGATCCAGGATTTTTTTTTAGAAGGGGGTGCACTCGTCTCTTGCTCTACTTCAACACCAATAAACCACATAGTTTTTTTTTGCAGAATACCAGTTGTGTTAGAAAACCGCAGGTCATCTCAGGGGGGGTGCGCACCCCCTGCACCCTCCCGCTAGATCCGCCCCTGTTGCTCACACTATCTTTAATATTACAAGCCTCGCTGCTGGATGCATTCAAACAAGTTTAAAAAGGCCCAGTTTTGGAAACGATAAAGTCATTATACACCAGGAGACCATGACAAATGCTTCCCAGCAAGACTTCGATTTATTAAATAACAGGGGCGGATCCAGGATTTTTTTTTTTGGAGGGGGTGTACTCGTCTCTTGCTCTACTTTAACACCAATATACCACATAGTTTTTTTTTGTTGCAGAATACCAGTTGTATTAGAAAACTGCAGGTCATCTCGGGGGGAGGGGGGGGGCAGTGCGCACCCCCTGCACCCTCCCCCCAGATCCGCCCCTGAATCATCATAATGTTCGATACTTTTCAGGTGACAATGTGATGAAGATATTTTGATGATATTTTGGTTCCAAACCAGGCCTCTTTACGGAGTCCCTTGTAGATGGGTGGGCCGTAGTTTCCTTCTTCGGAATTTCATTAGGATCTTTAGGTTCCAAACCAAGCCTCTTTGCTGATTCGCTTGTAGATGGGTGGGCTGTAATTTTCTTCTTCGGAGTCTCGTCAAGAACCAGGCCTCTTTACTGAGTCTCTTGTAGACCAAGGGTGTGCTGTAGTTTCCTTCTTTGGTTTTACATCAAGGTCTTCAGGCTCCACGCCAGGTCTCCGTTGTTGAGTCACTTTTAGATGGGTGGGCCGTAGTTTCCTCCTTCGGAATCGCATCAAGGTCTCTAGGTTCCACTCCAGGCGTCTTTGCTGAGGCCCGGTTGTAGATAGGTGGGCTGTATTTTCCTTCTTTGGAATCATATCAAGGTCTTTAGGCTCCAAGGCAGGCGTCTTTGCTGAGTCTGTTGTAGCTGGGTGAGCCCCTTGAAGGCTGAAGTGGGGCACCAGGCTTATGTTTGGCAGCAGGAAAGTACGAGACATAAGTCTTGGCGCTGAATTCATCCACATTGGGGTTAGTGATCTTAGTTTCAGTTTTAGAGTTAAATGGTTACTACCAGTCAATTGACCATTAGGATAAAATTCTGGAGCGTGAACACAATTAAAATAAAGGCTACTAAGACTTACTCTGTTCCTTTCTGCTGGTGCTAACCCTACTGTCAGCGGCACCCAACGACGGTTTCCTCCTAAACACATTAGAAACACTTTCAGGCTATCCACAGTACTTTTAGATCTCTAGAAATGCATTCTAAGCGGCGCTGTATTTGTATCTTTTCGGTCATCCTAAGGCAACTTGAATTCCCGTGCCGCATGAAGTTCTTCGTTAATATTATCCTTGTAAGAATTTTTTCTAAGCCTGTGCATGAATATTTTAGGGTTACTTGGCTTGCATAGATTTTTTTATTTTAAATTTTTCCTTAGCTTGCTTGGATATTTTTGGGTGATCCCCCCCCGCCCCCCGACATATAAAGTTTCAGTAATGGTCCGTCCCTTAGCCTGCGTAGCCCACTCTCTCAGTCGTTGCCTACGGGAGGTGGTCGCCTACGGGAAAAATCAGTTAAGAAAGCTAGCTACAGCTCAATGTGAACTGAATAACATAATTTCATGAAGTTATTGCCTTACAAGCTAAACAACGGGCCAACAATGTTTCACTGGAGGAAGAGTAAACAGAGGAGAGAGTGGGTCCTAACTGCAATGGAAGCGAAGGCCTGGAACGATATACAAGTTTTCAAAATGGCCGCCGTCTTCGCGTTTTCACGGAACGCTGCGAAAAAGTTTTGTAAAAACACATCGTTTTCTAAGCTGTTTGTTTTCAGGTGAAATATTTTTGCACTTTTCTCCTGGTTCTTTTTTATTCTGTTAGCTAGGGGTGCAAATGTGTCTTGTTAGAATTATAAATCTTGTCTCTTTTTTGCTTTTCTGACTGTAACTTAAGCTTATTCATGTACAGCAGGTCAAGAAGATATAGCGGAGATGGTCGTGTTCAACACAGAAAAAGACTTGGGAAAAGAGAACTTCATCCTGGAAGACCTGAAGATGAAAGTAAATTTAAAATGATAGTGCGCCCTCTCGGATTTACCGTCGTGGTATGGTATGACAAGGGGTTATTGCATTTGAGGACTTAACCTTTTCTTCTTACCCCTGAAGATTGTTTAAAATTTTATTTACCCCTGAAGACGTCCAAGAAGAAAATGGGTCTACCCCTGAAGAAAATGGATCTACTCCTCAAGGATGTCGTGAAATTAAAGCTTCACGGTTCACCCCCAAAGAATTCCGTATTTTTTTTACTCTACTCCTAAAGAAATCCTCAATTTCTCCAACTTATCCTGGAAGAATTCCATTTCCGGGCAATAAAAAACCTGCATTTCGTTACATAGAGTGTCGTACAGGGGGCTGGTTGTCCCTGCATGGTTCACAGACTAAAAAAGCTAATCACGAAACATAATTTGATATCAAAATTTCATTTTTTTGGTATGGTATCTGATACCTTTTTTTGTCTAGTTTTTACAAGAAGGAAAAAGTGGGAAAGGAGTGTCTGAAAAAAAAAAAGAGGAAAGTGGAGAAAAGGAAAAGAAAGCCTGCAAATAGCAAATAATCATTCTTATTGTTTAGATGTTTCCATCTTCTTTATCCGTGCATCTTCCAGAGGTCTCAAAACTGAAAGTGTTTAACAGTCAGTGCATAATTAAATGTTCAGGTTTGATTGCTGGTATTCATCGATTGATAGCCTGCTTGGCAGGGGTTTGAAAGGAAGGGAAATGGGAAGGAGATTCCAAACGTGCAAGAAGCGCAAAAGGTATGTGAGGAAGGGCAGAAGGGAACTCCTTCCACCCACCTCCTCTCTTGGCAGACTCGCACCCAAATTCCCTTCCACACCCCTTTTGAAGGCCTGCCATGCAGGCTAATTGATTGAAAATGATTTTGATTGGAAGGAGGTTATTTTGCTTTCTTAACATGCCTCTGAATTTTCTGTTTCAAGACAGGTGCAGTCAGTTTTGGAGCATGTTCAATTCTTCAGTATGAAAAAGTTAGAAGTTCTTACATCCATAAAAATCAAGCATATTCTCCTAGTACTGGGTCTAAAAAGCAGTTTGGTATTAGAGATATGGTATGTATAGAATTATTACATGAATGTTTCACTGTTTACCACTTGTGAATTTTTATCAGTTAATAGTCACTCATAACCACTAGTTTGCCAGCTAGCTACGAGCTTGAGCATTGATTTACTTTCTTTCAGTTCAACAAATGGTGGAATTCATTACGTGATGGATCCAAGACAGCATCAGTGATTATCTTCCTTAATACAACAGTTTTCTTGTTATGGAAAATACCTCAGATGCAAAATTTTATGTGGAAATGGTTTACAATGCCTCCTGGTCCAGGTTAGTCTGGATGATAATAGCATGTGTGGCAGGTGACAAAAGGAGAAAGGCAAGGCCGAATTTAGGCACGTAAGAGGGTGAAGAGAGTGCGGCAAGAGGAAAAAGGACCCCTTGTGCACCCCTTGCACTCTCATGTGCCAAAATTCTCCATTTCCTTGTCCTTTTGAACCCTGCCACAGAGACTATGATGATGATAACACAGGTGGTGGAGAGGAATTAGAGGTACAATATTTTCTTTCAGGCTCATCTGTGAGGTTATTAACAAGCGCATTTAGTCATATGGACTTCTGGCATTTAGGCGTCAATATGTTTGTTCTATGGAGTTTTGCTCCCCATGTTGAAGGTATGTAACAAACTAGCATGGCCACAGATGTTTTTCTTTTTTCTTTTGACAATTTGACAGCGTGTGAGCAAGCCCTACCCCTTGCCCTTGCTGTCAATAAATCCCCCCGATGATTCATAATTCCATATGCGTGTTTGACAATCCCTCAAGAGAAAATAGAGGGTCTGTGGACAGGCTAGTAACAAACTGAAAAGAGAAATTATTGAAAAGATTCACATGGGGTTCATAAGGTGGAGTTTCTTTTCAGAAACATGTGGAACAAGCATGTCCATCAGAGGAATTTTTGTGACTGTCTTTTTCAGTGGTTAGTCTGTGTACCATGATCTTTTTTGTGTTTCTGTTTCAGCCCTCCTTGGTAAGGAACAGTTTATAGCATTTTATCTCACTGGAGGTACAGTTACAGCAACCAGTGGCAAGAAAGAATTATGGGACAGAGAGGAAAATGCCCAGTACAGACTTTAGGTAGCCTGCATAGCAGGCGCTTGGAAGTAGTGGGCCCAAGAAAAAACGGGCGCATGTATCCCTCCCATGTCTCCCTCACGCGTGCCCGTTCTCTCTTTCGCCCACTATTTCCAAGCATCTGCTACGCAGGCTAGACTTTAGGATATGTGAATTTCACCAAAGTTATTTTCAGACCAATTAAATGCATGAAATAATTAATTGGAATTTTGTTTTCTAAGAGGTCTTAAAACTTTTATTCAGTGTTGTCAAGAAAGAATGCAACAGTTGTCATTAAAATATTCTCTATTGTTTGCTTTGAGGCAGACACACATGGACTTGATGAGGTTTCAAAGAATCGATTGAAATGTGAGAAGATCTCAGGAATAAGTCTTATATTTAATTACAACCTCTAAAAATTACTTTAGTGAAATTCACATATCCCGACCAGTGCCTTAACATTCCCTCTCTGATCCATCATTCTTTCTTTCTTAGAGACATAATAAAGGTTTCTGCTACCTTAAAGTCTTTTCAATTTTTTTATGGGGCAAAAAATGCAATAACATCATGTCAATGTCCTTATTTTTCCTAGGTGTGTTTGCTTCTTTTGCGAGTACTGCATACAAAGTTATTGTGACATCATCACCACTGGGTGCTTCGTTAGGAGCGGTAAGAGAATTGAGGTTAATACCATAGAAAAATGTATTGAAGATTATAAACTCAGTGATGGCTGATTTAACCCTTTAAGCCCCAGTATCTACATACAAATTCTCCAAACTGATCTCTATACATTTCCTTAAAGAATGAGTTAAGAGAATTTGTTTAAAGATCAAGGCATTTTTACTTAGGTGATCATTTTATTAATTCTCATAACTTATCTGTTGACATTGTATGAATATTGTTAGGAGAAAATTGATCTTGGTCACTATTGGGACTTAAAGGGTTGTCCCTTATCACAGCACTAGGCTAAATAAAAGGGGTATCTACAATACTTTATAACATAACGAAAGTAAAGCGTGCTTTCTTTTGGTCAATTACCCTTACATTTAGCATTTGCCCATGGGCGGCAAATATACGGCTGTTAGATGAGTGAGTTGTTGATGAGAAGAACGTTTGACCATTTTCTTATAGAAATTCAATAGTGGCTGTGCTTTTTTTGTTTTAGTCCGGGGCTTTGTTGGCGGTTCTGTCATTGTGGTGCATTCATGAACCAGACACAAGGTTGGCTATCGTGTTTCTACCATTTTTAACATTCTCCGCGGGAACGGTAAGTCACTTCTCGCAATTTCCAATATCCTTATTGAAAACTAAACATTAGAAACCCCTTTGATATATCAAATCTTAGTTTACTAAGGTTCGACTTAAATGAGTTTAAATCACATCTCAATTTGCGAGCCAGCAATGAATAAAGACAGACAATCGAGCATGGCACGCGAAAAAGCTAGAAAGGTCAGTTAGCGATTAGAAACACTGTACCTAGGGCCGGGTTTGTTTGTATTTTGATGGGCTTGCCTTGGTCAGACAGGGCTATCTTCCTGGTTCAGGTCGCCAATCAGAACAGTGAATTCCTTTTATCTTACCCGCTTGCAAAACCTGCCAGCCATATAATTATACTCTCTAATCTTTATTTTCAGGGCCTCGTAGCCATAGCTGGGTTCGATTTGGCGGGATTAATTTTTCGTTGGCAGTTTTTTGATCATGCAGCTCATTTGGGAGGTGTTTTATTTGGAGGGTAAGTTGGTGTCCTTCAAATTTCTCATCCATACCACGCCCAAAATCACAGCTATCGTCGCGAGTTATGTTACGTGTGTAGCGTGCTTGTTTTGACTCGTTGCTAGAAATATAGGCGAGTTATTTCCGTGATTATCCAAATTTCTATGAGCGAAATCATCCATGCTTTAATATTCCTCATTAAGGTATTTCTCCCCTCACTTGATGTGATGCTGGTCTATCACAAATCTACACCCCATACCACTCTTCAAGCACCCGTCCTCAAATTTTCTTTGCGATCTGCATCCAGCCTGTTCACAAACCCTCTATTTTCTCCTTAAAGTCCGTCGAGCGCGCGGATAAAAAAAATAGAAACTACCTCGCTCGCGCACTCGCCGATGTTTCGAAAAGAACGAAAAGAAAAATAAAACAGTGTCTGTGTACAGGCTAATCTGTATCTTAATGTTTTTCTTCCGAAGAAACCCGCATTTGCCAACTCGCGGGGACCCTGGGGAGAGGGAAGGAATGAAGGGAATAGGAAGGAAAAAGATATTTTTTCCGCTTTCTATTCATCCTCCGCGTTCTTACTTTTGAATTTTTAATTGTCGTCTTTGTTTGCTGAGGAGAACGTTTTTTAGTTATCCCACGTAAGTGGGCCATTTACGCAACTTCAAGGGGGAGAGATGGACGAAAACTTGAAGACATCTGTCATTTGTTTGATTGTTTGCGACTCTATACCTCTGGGCCAGGTTCCTGAAAGGCCGATCATGCGCTAATCCATGATTAAAATTTTGTTCTGTTTTTGTATTTTACCTTCCTATGTTTAGATGTATTGCGTAGGGTAACACTTAGTGTTATCATTACCGTATCTCGGAGTAAAGGCTGAACAGTATTTTGTAAGCTCAAATTGCATGTTCTTAGACAAGAAAACTTTGCTCAAAATTTGGCTTAATCCTGGCTTAAACTTGACAACAGGGCCCACCTGACGATTAATTCTTATCACGCTTTTTCTTTCTTTCTTTTCTTTTTTAAACATAGTTTGTACCTGAAATATGGTCATCATTATTTGTGGGAAAAACGGAGCTGGCTTATCTCTCACTGGCATAAACTTCGAGCTGGCAATAAAAGATCTTGATCATTGTGGCTTTTTTTGCTCTTTCTTCATCTATTACTTAGTTTTATTTCCGTCGGTAGCCTTTTCAAGATCGGCGCTTTTAATCAGTGGAAAAAACTTCACTTCTTTATGTCTTTGAGGAAAAAATTAACCTTCATCGGCGATTTCCAGATATTCGTATAACCCAGAGTTATATATATTGAATTCGACAAATTAAGGACGACTTATATAAGTGAATAATTATTAAATCACATGTTTACACCATTCTTCAGTGGTTAAGTTGAGTCTTGCTGTGAAGTAGTTAGTCTCAGTTTTGGTCTTTAAAATATGCATGTATACAACGATCGTTTTGTTCCCGCTTGTTATACTGATTCAGGTTTGTTTTCCCCACAACATATTCCATTACCGTCCACGAAGTTGATATGCTAATCACATAATCATTATAACACTCTTTCTTATAATTCTTCATTAATTGTAAGCAAACGCGCACAACACCGGGGTCACATAAACTACTAATTTACAAGCTTTTCCTTGACGAAAGAAATTTGTCTTTACTCAATCAAAGAAAAACCTTCCATTTTGTTATATTTTATGTGGATTTTCAGCATCACAAAATTCTAAGCCTTTTGTTTTCTCAAATTCTCGTGGAGTCTGGTTGCAATCATAACTGAGCAACCCGTGTACATTTTCCACCGTTTTCAATTTTTCGTTCCGTTTTGGAAGACGGAGCGACGAACTCAGCTTTTTACTCTATTTGCTTTGCTCACAGGGAAATTGTTTCAAGGGCATATGCGTCATTGTAGAATTTCGCGCAACTTCAAGGCAAAAAGGACGCTCGAAAACAACAACTGAATGTATTCAGGATGTACATGACGTACGAGGAAATTATTTTTCTAAACGCCTCTAAAATGCAACGGATCTTAACCATAGTAATAAATCGCCTATTCAGTTTCTTGCGTTTTATTTGCTGCAAAAAGAAAAGAAGTAAGAAAGGGCGTCCAAGTTAGTGTTAAGTAAAGCCGGATTCGTTTTAGATCAGATATGGGAAACTCAGCAAATGTTCCCTCGGCTTGAAGAGGCAATTTACCGTCGCGGTTTAACTCGGCACAATTTTTTGAAAATTGTTGGAAAATAGCAGAGTTTTTAAAGAAAATCGACATTTGTAACGTTTTGGTTCTCGGTTGAGCTCCTGGTTTTAGCTTTTTTTTTTTTAGCTTGTTGGACGCGAAAGTAAGTCTTCCTTTGTTCAAACAGCAACACGAACATGCTCAGTATGGTGAAAATATATATATATATATATATATATATATAGAAAAAGTAGCGAGAAAGAAGAAAAATGCATAATAATTCAGTATTGAACTGTAAAAGAAGAACTGAACAGTACATACAGGAGAGTGAACGTGCGACTTCGCTTATTTTTGGAAATTATTGTACCACACCAGATGTTTTGAAGACCTTGTAACTGCAGTACCTTTCCTTCCATGCAGAAAAAAACCGCATGTAATTTGCATTCGTGAGGTAAGAACTCAAGGTTTACCTTCAAGATGTCGTTGGATATCGCACTCGTGACAGGTGTGATAATAATCGCGATAATAATCACCGGTGCGGTAGGAAATTGTCTTACTTTATTCGTGTTCTATCGTTATGATCCGTTACGTGATGTTACGGGCCTGTTTCTGGCAAATCTTGCAGTTGCAGATCTTTTGCAATCGGTTATAGGGATGCCTTTGATAGCAACTTCGGCATTTTACGAAGAGTGGGTTTTTGGAGAGATTTTGTGCATCATCAGTGGAGCGACTAATTCCTTGTTTTGTATTACTTCTGTTCTGACCCTTACTGCCGTGTCAGTGGATCGATATTTGGCCATAGTCCATCCACTAGAGTACCCCACATGGCTTTCCATGAGAAGGTCAAAAATGGTTGTGGTCTGCCTGTGGCTTATGGCGTTTTTTGCTGCACTTCTGCCAGTACTTGGGTGGTCAAGGTATGTTTTTTTTACGATGAACATTGTTCAACATTGTTGAACATTGTTCATTGCTCCTTGTTGTTGTTTATCATTGTTCAACATTGTTTTTCACATTGTTGAATGTTTCGTTTTGTTTTGCAGTTTTTGTTAGCTTTTGTAGTGCAGATCGAGCTTCTGTAGCCTGCGAGAGCATCCGGTTTTTTCGGCTCAAGGAACTAGAGACTTGAGCCGGAAAAGCCGGATGCTCTCGCAGGCTAGCGCTTTTGCGTCCACTCGACAACGTTTTTGACATTGTCGCCATCTTTTTTACAAACTTTAATTTGACCAAAAATTCAAGATGTTTTGAAGTTTCGTGCACAGTAGAAAGGTATAAAATGTTGTTTGCTGGTTCGATGTGCGCATAGTTAGTGTAAACAATAAATAGAATACATGTTATAAAACAGATGTACATATAGTATTAAATAATGAATAAATAATAAAAAGTATATAAATTAAGTTAGCCTGCCTTCCACGGATGCCGAGTGTATATTATTTGAAGAATTCCTTGCAGCCAGATTTAAAAATGTGTAAATGTAAAAATGTGTGAAAATGTGTACGTGAAGAGTTTAAGGGTCGGTTATTTAAACGAAGTCTAACTTAGACTGCGGTTTAAGAAATCTTTAGACCTTCAGATCTCTTCCTTAGTGGGTCATTTTAAGAAGACAAATGTTTTTCTAGTTAGCTGTATGCATTCATGAAACTGGTCACAATAAATGGTCTTTCCAAAAAAGCGTTCGGCAAACTGAAAATGGCTGATAACGGCGTTTTTTTAAACACTGCCTATACCGTCCATTTACCTAACTGGCGCCAAGAGTTTTTATGTATATTTTTTTACGGATCAAATAAACTTCTTTTGCAGTATGTCCGATCTGAAAAATTTCTTCTCTGAAAATTTATAAAATATTAAAAAAATGATCTCTTCTAAGGCAATTTTGCGGTTTGATCAAATAAAACTTTTTTAGAGATCAACCGACTGAGTATCTCTTCTTTCTCAGGTACGTCTACTTGCCGTATGAATTCATTTGCACTGTACAATGGGAGCACGACAAAGCATACACCATATTTGTGTGGAGCTTGTGTTTTGTAGGACCCATGATCGTCACAGTGGCCTGTTACTCCAGTGTCATGAAAGTAGCTCGTCAACAGGCCCGCGAGAAACCGCTGACAACAGTTGGGAGACTCAGTAAAGCAGGAAATGACCCGGATGTTGGCGAGATGGTGGTGGCCGATGGGAAGAGTGAAGCAGCTGTAGAAGAAAATCTCGCTTTTACTGCGAATGACGACAAGAACAGCGAAGCAATTTTACTTGAGGAAAGCGTCACGTGCTACATGGAAGATAACAGACCAGAAGATGATATTCATCAGTCACCAGATCCGCATCCGGGCTCTAGCGTGGAAGTCCAGCCCGCTACCAGTGTGGGGTGCTCGGGTTTGCTTCTAGGTTTTCGAAGAAATAACGCAGTTGCACCAGTTGTTCCTTTACCATCGACTGAAATAGTCCAATCAGGTACATTCGGGATTCCCCGTACTTTAGATCCCACTATCATTGTTCTTACTGATAATCCCGAAGAATCGAAATGTAAGCGAAAAGATGACACAACCCCCAGGCACACTGCGAGGACACGCTTTGGTCCCTCGGGTTTGCCTCGAGTAAGACCCGTAAGTGGGGACTTACCCGTTACGAATAGCTGGACGAAAGAAATGTCACAAAAGAATAAACTGACGATAACTCAAGAGGAAGACAAGGAGATGGATTATCCAACAAGGGCTACCAAGTTGCCTGGTTACTTGGCTCGTGTACGTGAACGGATGGCCGAGCGGAAGATTGGGGATAGACAAAGTAGAAGGTGAGAATATTGAGCGTCCATGTTTTATTATAGGTCGCAGTATTTACAATGTCGTTGCCTATATTTTTAACAATTAAGGATCCTTATCATCCTTAAATGAAACAAACGCGTCTTATTTGACAAAATTATCACCGCAGAACAAATGAAGGTGATTCCCGAGAATTATAAGTGACACTTGTTGTCGTAAAAATTGATTCAGGGCCTGTTTACATGGAGGTGGGGGACCCCAGGTAGGTGAGGTAACCCGCCTGTCCATATAATCTCTCATTTTAATTTGATTACATTTACAAGTTAGGTGGGTAGACTTTCAAAAAAGTCCTTCGTTGGATTTCATATGGCGCGGTACGAAGGTCGCTCGCGGTCGGCCGCTTCGCGGCTAAACAAGGCTCGCTCCGCTCGCCAAGAGGTCGACTTGTAGCAAGTCTAGATAGGTGGGGTGATCATATGAGAGATTATATGGACAGGGGGGTTACCCCACCTAACTGGGTTACCTCACCTACCTGGGGTCCCCCACCTCCATGTAAACAGGCCCTAAGTTTAGCCTAATTCAGTTTTGCCCATCCATCACCACAGTTGAGGAGTCCACGTTCCCTTTGTCCAGCTGGCAGAAATGATGCTCCTACGAAGTCAACTGTCGACTTAACGGAAGTGAGAACACAAAAGATGAGCTTGCGTCTTGATTGCTTTCTCTTTTCCTGTTTTTTTTTCTTCTCTCTTTAGAAAGGAGATGAAAGTAGTCCTTATACTTCTTATTGTGAACGGTACCTTCGTTCTTTGCTGGCTGCCTCATTTGGTTGGAGCGTTTTGTTTAACATTTACTGGAGGCTTTTGCCCGTTCCCCGACAATTTCTTTATAATCACCACTACTTTGGCCATGCTGAACAGCGGATGCAACCCATTCATATACACTCTGACATACCGGAAGTTTAGGAGAGCTTTTAAACGTGTTCTGCCGTGTTTTCGCGGGAATAACACTGGAGGAAGAGGCGGGATTTCGCAAGGATAACAATCATAACATGTGAAGAATTTTGTTAAATTTTAGAATAAAATTTCACTATAGACCTTGTCACGGTTTTCGACGCCATCTTGACGAGTAGGCAAACATGTGAGAAATTACAGTGCTTATATGAGAATCCAATGTCGAATAATTTCCGTAAAACGGCTTTTCTGAAAAAAATATCAATTGCAAAGCGAAGGATTGTACTTAAACATTTTGCTTTAGATTTTCCATATATTTGTCTGTAATTTTTCTCGGGAATTTCTTGCAGACAAATGTATAGAAAATTTTAAAAAGTGGTTCTAAGTCTTCTAGCGCATGTAACGCCGTCAGTTTTTTTTTCAGTAGAATCCTTAGGAGTGAAGCTTTAGTTTACAATTCATATTTTTTTCAGAACAGCTGTTCTACGGAAATTATTCGACATTAGATTTTCATACAAACACTGTAATTTCTAACGCGTTTGCCTACTCGTCAAGATGGCGTCGAAAACCGTGACAAGGTCTATTCAGTAGTTAGCAATAAGTAGGCCAGCGCGAGATTTCTGTCGGCAGACAGAGTCCCTAATCAACTTTGAAAGCCAATACAAACTGATTACTTCTGTAAACATTTGCTAGTATTCTGTGCCTTAATTCTATCCCAAATAAATGAGCACCCGGTTTTCTATATAATTTGTATTGTAACGAATTATATAAATACGTAACTGTTTAAAAATTAACCTCAATATCGTGGAAACAAGGGGGGCTGAGGAGGGAAGTCGTATTCTAGATTGAGTTATGAATTTGGCACAATAGAACCCACTGAGGAGTATTGCCCAGTGAGGCTATAGCTAGTTCCTTTGATAAACAACACATTGCTTCGATTTTTCAGCCGGGAATGGCAAAGCGGCATTACTGGCTTTCAGTATTGTTGTCGGAAATCATTTGGAATGCAACACATCATTTGTACAGCTTGTTGGAATATTTCAAGTATTTTACCCGAAAACTTAAGACGAACCAAAGAGATGAATTGAACAAACAAAAAACACACACAAATAACAAGAAGAAAACTGAAAGGAGACACTGAGAGTTTATATTTGGAGAAGTCATCAGACGATCAAATGCTTATGAAGAATAAAATATTCCTTAGTGTTTTTCTTTTCAAATATCCGCTGCCAACTTTTTAAGCATTTAATTTTTTCAAGTGTTTATGCAGACTCAAGATGCAAAAAAAATTGTCCGATCGCTTTTTCAACTGGGAAAAAAATGTTTTACCTGTCTTATGTTGATTTAAACGGGTTTTTCATCGGGCATGCCTTTATGAGGGAACGAAAGTGAGTTTGAAAAGGCAAATTTGTCGTTTACCGTATCTTTATGAGGCGACTTACCCCCATAAATGACGGTTTTTGAGTCGCTAACTTGAATTAGTCATTTGTTAAAATAGATTTCAGTAGTTTTCTTTTCAATTAAACATAGGAAAATCAGGCGTCAGGGAATGATGATCAGACACTTTCTTTTAATGGTTTTGTTTTTTCTGTTTTTTCGTTTAAAGATAAATTAAAAGGCCACGCTGCTTTCTGTGGAAGATAAGAGGTAACAAATATAATAATGTTATTCTTTGTAAAAGATAATTTGGAACACGTAAAACCAATTTAAATCCTTTCAATAGAAAATTAACTTTGTTCGTAATAGGAATAACTTCGGTTAATTATTCATTTACGTCAGGGTCTTACATGGGTCTTACATCCCTTCTTGCCAAACGTATTTGAAAGTAAATGCTAAAATGCTCTTTCCAAATTATCAATCAAATGTTCCTAAGGTTTACCTCGATTTTCAGTGTATGAATTTGACAGTAGACGAAAATTAAGTAATTTTTCTGGTGTTGTTGTAAAGCGAAAAATTAGATAAACGGAAGCACCTGGCGTCAGAAGTATTCCAATAAAGGAAGCTTTTTCTAACATAAATAGCCACAAGCAAGCAGAAACCCCACTCTGTGAGAACGTGTTTTATTGCGCATTGGAGAAAAACTTCCCGTTTTACCGGTATATGGGGAGCAAAGTGCCCTGCCTTATTCTATAATGACTTCGAATTTTTGGAGTTAAATGCTGCCACCTTCCCCTTAAAAGAAGTTGAGCTGATTATTCTGCAACGTTTGACCCCGTCAATAGTTCAGCTACACGGAGAGAAAGCCATTTAAAAAAGAAAAGAAAAACTGATATCGATGCTTATTTAAGGACCAGCTGCTGGTTGCTACCGACCCCAGCGTGAAATAACAGGCTGTATCGCCAACAAAACCGTGCCACACTGTGATGACTTTTTCGCTTTTATGTGAATTCATGGTTTAACTGTCAGTATCATGCATCATGCTGGTCGATATCTCCACAGTTACTGGAGCAGTAATGGTTGGCATAGTTTTTATCAGTTCAGTGGGAAATGGTCTTACATTGTTCGTAATAATCCGATCTCATTCACTTCATGATGTCACGGGAATTTTCCTTGCTAACCTGGCTGTTGCAGACCTATTGCAGTCCATCCTTGGTATGCCTCTAATAGCCACCTCAGCTTTCCACAACAAGTGGATTTTTGGAGACGTCTTATGCACACTAAGTGGGATAACAAACTCTTTATTTTGCATCACCTCGATGTTAACTTTATCCGCCATCAGCGTGGATCGCTGGTTGGCTATCGTATATCCACTACACCATCAAACCTTCCTTACGATTTCGCGTGCCAAATGTATTATAATCTATGTTTGGTCACAAGCGTTACTCGTGGCTCTTTTTCCGACCTTTGGTTGGTCAAAGTAAGTTTTTCCTTCCTTTTTTGAAATTAGATAAATTTAGGGATAGTGTTAAAAATGAATAATTTTTTCAAACCAGACATATGTCATCATTTCCAAAGTGACGGAAGAACCAAAACGTCGTTGGTTTTGCAATTTTTTAACAACTGTTATTTGCCTTTTTAAATGCTTGTCAAGTCGGTCGGACGTCTGACGTCATTAGCAATATGCAAAAAACGGCTGTCAAAAAGAGATAGAGAGAAAGAGATAAAGAGGGCAAAGATAGTATATTTTCAAGTTGATATTTCTGATAAATGTCCATTTTTGCAGTCGGCATCCTGTCCTTGAAATTACGCAAGCCTGCTTCATTTGGAAAGGATACTATCCCGTTGTCTAGCAACAAAATTATTTCAACAATCATGGCTTTTTTCGTTTATATTCCTCTACGCACATAATCTTTCTGTTCGAGTACATCAGATCGTATTTTAAACCTCTTTATTTAGCTTTTCATTACTTATGGTTAAACCATCGATGTTTTCTTAAATGAAATAGCAGGCTAGATAGAAACCACTACGTACAATGGCTTTGCTAACGTCACTCAATTATTTCAACAAACATTAAAGATGCAAATTGAACTTAAAGTAAAGAAGACATTTTTAAGTTTTTGAATATTCTGGAAAGGGAACGAAGGCAAATATTTGTTGTTGGTTTATTGCACCTGTTTGACATTTCGCTAAAAGACCTATTATAAAATATCAAACATCCTTCCGTAAGTAAGATAAACGCGAATTTCTTTTCTACGTTTTCCTGACTAAAAGCAGATGTTGTTGTTCAACAACCCACATACTAAAATTATAACATGACTCCCAGGCTTTAGGGTCAAAATTACAAATTTTTCACGACTCCATTGTCCTCGCAACTCCCAGAAGAGATTTGAGCCCAAAAAAAGCTGAAAAAAGATGTTACTAAGACGGGGAACGCGGGGAGCGAGGAATGGGCGAATAAAAAATGGAAACAAAATCAAACTTGAACCCTAGCTCATTTCTAATTCTCTGCTTTGCTCCCATTTTTTTTCCCGTTGTCCGTTGCCCGTTCTTCGTTTTGGTAACATCCCAAAGAAAACCAAACCAAATATAGAAAAACGACCCAGAAAGCCTCGGAGTCATATATAATAGACCATTTTCGATATATTAAAATTTTAACATGACTCCCAGGCTTTAGGGTCAAAATTGTACATTTTTCATGACTCTATTGTCTCGCAATTCCCAGTAGAGACTTGAGCACAAAGAAAACCAAACGAAATATAGAAGTATGACCAGAAAGCCTCGGAGTCATGTTAGAATTTACTAAATTGAACGTGGGCTATTTACACTTTGTTTGCCCTCCTAAATTTTACATAACCGTTCTCCTGGGTATTAAAGTTGTCGCAAGAGAAATTGAGGACCATTAGCCCGCAAAGTTTTTTTCAAGGTCGTGGGTGGGGCGACGGTGGGGGACAAACAAGGCGCATTATGGGAACTGCGCAAGTGGCGGATGTAGGCGGATGAGAACAAAAGCATTTCTTTTAGCTGTAATAATTAAAATAATTTTTGCTTTGTCCACCAACATGGCTTCCTTTTCACGTGGTTGTACCTCAGGTGGTCACGTGATTGTAACCCCTTAAGAGTGATCATCATCAAAGTTCCCCCTGTAGTATCAATGCTTCATAAAACAAATGGGTGAAGAGAATTAGGAACATGATCACACACGACACAAGATGAATCTGGTTGATACTTTAACAACTTCTCCCCACTACCTCCACAAGAAACGTATAGAGACAACAAAGGAGCGTTTAAATATTTATATATTAGGGTTTAAAAAGTTAACTGTTAACCGAGGCCTTCTAATTCTCGTAGAAAAGGGAAGACGAGGGACCCTGGGGACGAAGCTATCTCAAAGAAGGATAAAAGTTATGGCGGGGGAGGGGAGGGGGGAGGGGAGAGGGGGTACAGCGTGAATTATATGAGTTAGCGATTACACTCCACAGTTAGGTGAGTCATTCCAGATCAAAATTCAGCTCGAAGAACACACCATTAAAATTTCGCTGCTTGATTTGAGTGCAAGGCGAAAAATCTGAAGATCATTCTTCTTACAGCCTTACTCAGACACCCTGTAACGTGCGGTGTGAGCTTTTACTGCATTAACAAAGTAAATTGTGGCTTAAAACTTTGTCAATGGTGTGGTCTATAAACAGGAGGCGAATGGCAGGAATTTGAAAAACTAGTGAAGCGCAAAAAGTTAAGTTTGATATTCAAGTAGATCTCAAGTTATCTCTAATTCTTTCAGGTATATATATTTGTCTTACGAGTTCATCTGTACAGTTCAATGGGAGCACAACAAAGCATATACAATCTTTCTGAGCGTGACATGCTTTGCGTTACCTCTGATTGTGACAATCGTTTCCTATGCCAGCGTCATGAAAGTTGCTTGTCACCAGGCACATGAGACACTCCCGATCACCGTTGGTGAAATCGAGGTTGCACTACAAGTGACACCACATTACAGCCCCAGTATCCCGGATGTTAGGACAACACGGAAACCGATAAGGCAAACCGACTGTTTTCCAGACAATATCGTTAAAGGAGAAACGACAGCCCCCATAAGTTCAAATGGCACCTCTTTAAAATACTATTTGAATGATCTAAAATTAACAAAAGACAAAGTAATGTTAGCAGAAAATCCCATTAAGTTGGACGCAAGCACAACTCCACGAAGTGAGGTGAGATTGGATTTTTCTGAAAAAGAAGCAAAAGTTGCTTTTTCAAACCGCGCAATGTCCAAGAAAATGTCCTTTATCGATCTGGTTAAAAGAAAGAAAAGAAAGAATTCTATTGTTCCCGGAAATTCTCTTCAAAAAACACGCAATAATTCCACAATATCCCGTGTTAATCCCGAAATATTCCGTGAAGATCCCAATCTTTATCGCCTCCGAAGCGTTTGGACAAGCGAGGAATTGTGTGGACATGAGCTGGGAATCACATCAGAGGAAAATGGAGAACATGGCACGAGACATAACCAAACGTCGCTCGGAGACTTAGCACGCCTGCGCGAATGGATGGCCGTCAAGATGAAGAGCAAAGAGAAATCTGAAGCTGTTTTACAGCGAAGGTGAGCTGTTAATCCATTTTCATATTAAAAATTGCTACTGAATACAAAAGCTGATAGTGACATATTGTGATACAGGGTAATTAGCCTTAATCCCAGAGAGATACCAAAAGCCTTTTAAAAACTCCTACCTCTATACCACGGACTTTGCCGTATTGTGGAAATATAAATTCTGTCAAAGCCCGCTATTATTAGGACTTTTTCTCAGCGACTGATTGCGATTTGGCCACAGATGCGCATATTTGTTACGTTTGAACAAGTTTTACTTTAGTCTGACCACTGTATCATCATATAGAAGAAAATAAAACCTCGTAGAAAGGCTTTATATTAGGAAACTCAAAGAAATCAGTGATTAAAGGTTGTGGTCTCGGCGTGACAGTTTGCAAGTGTATCAAGTGTTTGCAAGTTCAAGCGTATCTGTTGCTGAGAGTCTGAAAACAATGGCCAAAGTTCTAACTTACTCTTTTATATGACCGCTCTGACTGTTTCACTCTACGACCCTTCATCCGCCAATTATCGCATTCTTAATATGTATTTTATCTTCCAGAAAAGAGATGAAAGTGGTGTTAACACTAGCTGTCGTGAATGGAACCTTCGTTTTTTGCTGGCTTCCTCATTTCATTGGAATCATGTGTTTAACGTTCACCAGTGGCTCGTGTCCATTCTCTGACAATTTCTTTACCACCACCACGGTGCTGGCTATGCTAAACAGCGGCTGCAACCCATTTATCTACACTCTGACATACCGCCGGTTCAGGAAAGCGTTTAAGCAAGTGTTGCCTTTTTTTCGCTCTAACCGCTCGAGAAATATAGATAGCCCTACAAAATAGTTTTTAAACACAAAAAGAAAAATAGGTTTTTATTATAATTTGTTTGAAACGCTATTACCCTTCCCCAAATTTTTTAAATACCTACAGGTTTTACTTCTGTGTTGGGACAAAGTTCCCTGTTTGTGCCCATTTCCTTGAGACGTATACCTGAATAAAATTCTGGCAAATGCTCAATACAGTTAAAATTGTTTCCGCCTTCATTTTGCTTTAGTTTTTTGTCGCATACCAACTCTTCAAGTTGGCTTCAGTATCGAGAAGAAGGTATTGATGGGGACTGCTTTAATTTCACGCAGCAGAAAGTACACTTGAGAGTTGGTTAACGCCGTGTGTTTACTATCGAGTGATGGATCGCACTGGACAAGTTTGCTGAACACCAAACCCGGGGGGGGGGGGCAATCTAGACTGGGGAAACAGCTACTCTAGGATAGGGGGATTTTGGGAATTTACTCTAGTATAGGGTAGCAAAATTCAGCTGAACTAGCTCTGGTATAGGTCAAGGGTTCCAGGGTCCCAGCGGCACATCCCCACCCAGAAATTCCTAAAGTGCCCCCCCCTCCCCCGGGACACCAAAGGTGTTTCCTTTTGAGTTTTCGGACGAAAGTTCTACGTTTCGACTTTTCACATGACAGCTACTGCATGTGCAGCTCACACACGGTACTGTCCTGTCGTGCTTTGTATTGTACAGTCACTGAAAGTCCTGAAATGAGTGACGCTGTTTTCCATTACTTTAGTATCTGTTCAGAATCTGTTAACTGTTTAACAGATACGCCACCCGTGTTAAGACTTATCAAAGACAGTCTGCGATTCTGGAAAAGCTGGATTGCTGAATTGGACACTGTGGATTCCGGATTCCTTGTCATAGGAACTTGATTTCCGGTGTCCAATTGTTAGTGGGATTCCAGATTCCTTAATCTGAATTCCGGATTCCAAGGCCCAGGATTCCGGATTCCACAAGCACAAATTTTCCCGTACTCCGGAATCAGCCGGATTACTTTACATTGAGCGAAACATACGAGCTCTTGTCTCTGTTAACCTATTTTACCAAGATTATTTTTCACTCTTTCGAAATCTTCAAACCTCAACATTTATTAAATGAAAGCAGTCTTTTCGCTGGTTTCTGTTTATTTTCAATGGTTTGTTAATTAAACATTTTGGTATTTTCACGTTCATCAATGCAATAAGAATTCAGGCGCCACTTTTATCCCTAATCCTTTTAAAATTAAAGCTGATTATGGGTCTTTACAAGTCCACACACCGATTTGTTTATCACATATTAAGCCATCAGTATCGTCAATTTTAAAGCAGCAACAAAAATCGTGAAACAATTAGGCCATTCAACAATTTCCGAAACCTTTGAAAGTTAACTGGACTTTCGAGAATGTTAAAATTTAATGTCATACTCCTTTATTTTCTGAGACTGGAATCCTTTGTGGGTGTGGAAAGCTATGAGCAAGTTAATTATCACGTCGTTAGTAAATAGCGGGGGCTGTTTCAGGCCTTAAATACTACTGAACAACAATCAACGACCGGTGATATCAAATTAGAAGCGACACTTTGCAGTCCAAAGAAGCTCAACATGTTTATAACAGTTATTTATGGAGGTTAGTGGGAGATCTTTTGCTTATTATGCTATGTTAGGATTCACTCATTTTGCATAGTTATGAAACATAGTGGCCGTGATATGAGTAATACAACACGCGATTTCAGCTTCACTTGAATAGCAATGCTTAATCAATGCGCTTGATGGTTTTACGAGAAGTTTTTACACAAACCGGAAAGTAACCTATTCCATCGTAATCTTAAGCTATAAATTGGACTCGTCGTTAGTTGAGGTTGAAGAGATGGTAAACTAGTTAATTGAAAATTATTTCTTTAGTAACAATTCGAAAGCTGAAGTGTCTAAGAGAATTTGCCTGGACTAATTACGACTTTCTGAATCGAGTTTGCAGAATTGCATAAAATGCTTAAAATGCTTTATACATAGGCCGATTTAGGGGTGACTTGAAAACAGCACTGCATTCTTCACATAGACATTTCTTTACTTCTTTGCAATAAGTATCAAAACTAGGGAATCGTCTACAAAAACTTTAACAACGTTATTGACTGACGACCGATAATTAATTACCGGGTCTCCTGTTAATTGCTTTTTGAGGCAAATTATATGGTTGTTTATTTACTTTATAGAACACCAGGAAGCGCTGTTTAACACAGACTGCAGGCTCAATCTGTTGCTGCACAGCATCCGTGAACAGTGTCACTGCGAGATAAGAGGTGAATTACAAGATGTGCCAATAATGCTGGGCTCCCTGTGATGCTATGAGCGACTCAGAACTTAATGCCAAATAGTGTAGCCAGTGATAAGCATCACTTTCAACCAAAAGCTTTCTCTGCATTGTACCCGAGGGAGCCGAAAGCAGGCAATCACCGTCCGTCTTTTTTAAAAGGGGCTAGGAAGGTCCTGGTGACTACAAACAGTTACAAAAAAACTTGACACACTGTACCATACTTTGGCTCAAATCGCCTGTCCATGAACTTGTGCTAGTTATCCCCCCTCCTCCCCTTATCAAAGTTGCCAGCAATATAAGGCCATGCTCAAAACGTTGAGAACCAAAGGGAGATGATAAGTGTTATATTTCGCAGACACTTAACTAGCAGCGATTTGAAGAAAGAAAGGCCGGTTTTGGACGGAGTTTCTCAACATTTTTGCGATTAGTTGCAGTATGACAAGCACTGGAAAAATTGCGCATGTCATCCTTTTAATGTCGTGATTGGTAGCGTAAATTTTATCGTACAAAACTATATTCTAAAATGCTGAGTGTGCAAGTTTTGGCCTTATTTTAGCACAAGTGGATCTCTGTGAAGTGAGCGGACGGCCCAAGAATCTACCTCAACAACCTCCGGAATCTTATGCAACAAATTATCTAAAACCAAGGGAAAAATACGTACTTATACAAATGGAAAGTGAGTAATTTATATTTGTAAATAACATCTTTCATTTTAGACGTCTCGAGATTGAAATAAATCTCTTCTCTAAAACTGCCAAGTCTTCCGTTACAAATGTACCTGTGATAATTGACGTAATAATATTTTCCTATTCCGTTGCAGAGGAAAATGGCAAATTGGCCTACAAACCGCTGTTGGTCGACAAAAAGATCATCACAGAAGATTTTCTTGGTAAATTTAATAATTTTACCTTTTCCAGTAAAATGAGTCTAATTCATACTCATATAGAATATCACAAGAGATTGTTATTGTTTTAACGAAACCAAAAACTGACAAAAATAACCTGCGTACTGACTGATCGCCGAGCGATTTTCGTTTCTCTCGGGCTACAGCGCATATATAACCCTGAAGCGATTAGTGGTCACGTGGCACACGACATAGCGTTTTGTTCCGCAAGGAAAGTGAGGAGGGTGGGATGGGAGGGGGGAGGGTTGAAGATCAGTGGAGAGACTTAGACCCACATTTCTTAAAATACCCTTCAAATTCTAAAATGTCGCGTGGTAAATTGCATATTTTTAGCGCCTTGACATCAGGAGCCAGCTAAAATATATACTTTTCAACCCTTAGCGAGCCTAGAAAAAGAAATGGCTGAACGAGAAATCATGACACGTTCGCCTAGATTCACAAAGAAAAGAAATTCATTGAAACCTGATCGAGCTGGTATGCCTGGGCGTCTCAAGAGGACCTTGTCGGCAAGAAAGAGTTCTCAAAAGCTGGATGCAGAAAATCACTGAAATCAAGCCATCCAATGCTACGACGAAAGTATCGATTCTGTTGTTGAATTTTGCTTGCAGCGTAAGTCTTGTACTTCTTAAACAAAGGACAACTGGGAAGCGGAGAGCGATTTCTAAACACTTTGAGTGTTTTCTCACCCCTTGCGGGTTTTTATGCAACCTCGTTCCCAAACTCTTAGAAGAGAGGTCCTGTGAACGACGTTTGAATTAATGTCGGTAAAAAGATCGATAAGTTGCTTTTGTGTAATAACTGTAAGCGTGAAGAAAGTTGTCAGTTTTCTGTGAGTGTTCGCGCCATATTTTAGTTATTTCGTTAACATTAGTATCAATGACTCGGCAGGCTACAGACTTTGATAAAATAGAACAATAAATCGATCTTGTAAATATTGTATGTTTATTCACATATAATCTTTTCTTTATAATAATATTGATTGTTTAAATAGAAGATATGTTCTTAACCTCAGTTTATATTCTTATTGTTATCTGCCCGGTTATTTTCCTCATAGTTCTGACTTGGCTCTTAAGGCGAGAGCTAATCACAAGCTGCAAGATCAGAGCGTTTCCTGGTAAAGGTACCCATTTTCGTGGATAGATAAAGGGAAGGCCTCATCGAACAGTTCTTAGTTATTTTGTTTTCAAACCGACCAATAGTACACTGAGACTTGATCAGGGTCATCCATTGTCTACAAAGAAGAGATCAGATATTTAGGACAATCAGGAAGAGGCGCTAGTTTCCATTTCGAGAAATATTAAGATAATTAACCTGGGTAAACAAGCATCAAGCATTTCCTTAAAAGGAGAATTCCAAGAAGTAGAAGACAAGGGAAAACAGAACAGCGAAAAATTTTAAGCAAGACCCAAGTTTAAACGAATACCCTTTGCGCAAACTTAAGGATGACTCGCACGACCAAAATTTTATTTAATTATTTAGATGAATAAACAAATGAATGAGTAAATACCCTAAATTCCGGCTCATTGTTCCTCAAGTCTATTGTATTGGTAAGCGACATTCCTGAATCAAAAGACTCAGCATCTGTGTGTGAAAAGTATAAAAACAACTTAAGTCATTTCCATGACTCATCTCAGTTTCCCAACTCAAATTTAATCAAAAATCTTCGACTAGAAATAGTTCCCGGCAGGGCTAAACAGCTAGAATGTGTTTGGTTCGTATTAAGTTAGACTTGCGATACTTACAAGAATCTCGAGCCAGGTCTTTTATATGAGCAAAGTCTGTTCGACAGAACGCTGGGTCCAGTGGCCATTCGGGCTCCTTGGGTTCATCATCGTTTTCGAGTTCTTCGTTGTTATTCTGAAGAAGACGAATCTTGGCTGACTTCTCTGACAGTTGTGAGTGAAGCGATTTGATTCTGTAAAGGATGCAGAATCGTGATTAAGTGAATGAATAATGTAAGTAATGGCAGATAGTGTAACGTGAAGGCAGAAACTTACATGGCTTCTAAATCTGCGCATCTTCTATTTGCAACATACAGTTCTTCGATGGATTTCAAGTTTTGTCCTCGACACTCGGCGATGATTTTTTCACTCTCTTGTATGGAATTTTCTAACGCTGCTATTCGAGCTTCCCTAGATAAATAAATTAATAAATCATTAACTAAATGATTACCTCATTCATCTAAGTTTTGTTATTATATCATTTAGTACCATATAATGTAGTAGCAGCGGCGAAAAGCAACTATAACAAGTTAAACACGGAATGCTCTTTGGCTCCAAGCGTTCTGCCGCCGGGTTTGCTTGTTTTTTGTAAACCCGAGGAGATGAAGGAACTACATGTACCAAGAAACAGCAGCTACTGGCTAGAACAGACTTGAATGAGAACTTTCGTTTCCGTTTTAAACGTGCATGTTACAAAAATTATCAGTAATGAACAAAAAAAAAAATACTTTGGCATCGCGACAGCTCTGATGGCCAAATTCCTTGATGTACCTTCCTGTTGTAACGTTAGTTCCAGCTAAAAAAAAAATGGACAAATGGTGAACCATTATTAGTTAAGCCGGACAAGCGCTACTTAGCCTACATGCCTTTTTTATGAACAAGCCTGTAATAGTTTCGGCTACATTGAGCCTTTTTTTCTTCAGGATAAGGGGCGTTTTAATCTGCCGAGAAAACTATGGCTGCGCGAATGATCGCTTCTTCTTCCTCCCGAGATAAATTTACTTGCGACATAACCATGGGAACGTCAAAAAATTGAAAGGCTGTAACCATAACAACTACAGAGATGTTCACGGCCTTCTGAGTTCCTGAATAAATTTCCCGCCTAAATGACTCGCTGAACGCTGAATGCACCGCGAGAGACAAACTTGAGTTTCACTGCTCATGCAAGTTTAACACCGGGTACAAATGTATCGCAGGAGAAGTGCCGAGGGGAATTACTAACCCGTAACAACTGATCCCCTAACTCTTCTATCCTCTCATCTTTTTCCTTTAACAGTTCCAGCAGACCCGGGACAGTTGCAGGTCCATCTAATTCGGCTATGCCTTCATCAGCTGAGTTAGAATGTCGTCGTTGGGTCTTGTCTTCATCTGTAGTTGAACTCGTGTATGTTGTTGCGGAGTCTGATTGCGCACGTGCATTTCTTGACGGAATCACGTGATTTGGGTAGAGCTGTAAAGAACAAGAGACATTTGTTTGCAGGGGCCAAGTCACAAATAATTCGTGGATTTGAACAAACTCGTTCCAAGGGTATTCGTCTCGTCATCTACGTCATGACGTAGTATGGTTGGATGGTTGACGAACGAAAGACCCTGGTAACGAGTTGGTTATATGTGCATGTGCAAAATTGCATGTGCAACAATGTTTGCATGTGCCTAAATTTGAGCCTAAATATACGAGTTCGTGATTTGCTGTTAAATTATACTATAGTGTTGGGAATAATTTTTGCCTTGAAAGCAGATGACCAGGTTTAAATCCTCACTTGTAACCGAGTTTCCTTGTAGTGCGTTTAAGATATTCAGCGTGTTTGTGTTTGTGTTTGTTTTGTTTTGCTTTTTTACCGTTACTACTTCTTTACCTCCTTTTGGAGATATGTTATCCTTTCTCGGCTTTGTACAAGCGATGAGTGGAGTTGTTCTTTGTCTTTCAAAAGATCTTCTATTTGTCTTCTTTGCTGGTTTATTGTGTTTTCTAACTCTTCTCGCGTTTTTGCAAAACTATCACCTATTAAAATACAACACCATGATTAAAAAGAAAGGACGATTGTAGATGTTATGGGGGTGGTACTGGTGGTGCCATGGTGGTGACGGTGATGGTGTGGGGGAGGGGGGTATTGAGAAGCAAAATAGAAACGAAGTTTGGGCAATGAAAATACATCGTTCTAAAGAATAAAAGAAGATAATAAAAATATTTTGTGCCTACTTTGAACGATAAGCTGTCGTATAACATTATTCTTTAGTTGTAGATCGCTTCTGCACTTTTCAATCGATTTCTGCAAAGATAAAAATACACACAATTGATAAGAAATCATGGAAGGAAATTAAGAGTGTTTTTTTAACAAGGCGTGTATTGATAGGATATTTTAAGTTACTTCAAACCATTGTACCGACGAGGTCTGCACGCAGGCTACTTCGGCTAACAGTCAGAGTTTGGGTGGCCTGTTGCACCCTGTCCTCAAGTAGTCATCCAACCTCCCCATCTTTCTATGTTGCCATAACAGAAGATATAACGATATCAAAGAGACCCTAACAAAGGATTTATAACTCATTATGGCTTTACCTGCAGTAAACATAACGTGTGGGAGATCGAGACGTATCTTGAAAAGAAACTGAGACCGTCGTTGGCTGCCATCGTGAAACGTGAAGAATTAAGGGAGACAGTTCCACACAATTGCGCAGTTAATCAGCCTTAGTTACCGTTTCTCCTGCTACTTTAAGAGTTTTGACACCGAGTTATAACATTTCCTAAATTATTTGTCTGAATAATCGAGGTTATTTCGATGCTCAGAAACACTCTGAAGCGACAATTGTAACCCAGTGACTGCTTAGAAACATGCTGTTACTGACCCAATATGAAAAAAAAACACACCTTCTCTTGCTGTTTTTCATCCTTGCATTTCTGTAGCTCATCTAAAAATATTATGCGTAGGAACAAAGCCAGTATTGATTATTAATATAGTTCTAATATTGCTACACCAATTAGTTGCTACCATATTCCCTTTTCATTAAAGAAAGCTCATCGTCACTGACACCGCGAAATCCGCGGCAAAAATAATGCCACCTTTCTCGTCAAAACCATTCATTACCGACCTTTACTACAGTGCTCATGTTTCAAATTAGTCTTACTGCCTTTTGACATTTGTCTTACTCTTTTTAAATAAATCCATTTTTTTTTCTGTTTCCAAAAGAAATGATTTACCCGATCTCATTTGACAACTATGCCATTATCACGTTTCTATCAATATTACCTAACACCCGCGTCAGTTCAGTTGTAGAATTTAGATTCACGTCCTAGAAACTGGCCATTGTTCCTTTTTTTAGAAAGAAATAAACTCTGTTATGTCAACGTTTTTCATGTTCAAGATTTTCTCATAGACAAACTTAGGGATAAATTAAAATTATTCGTCAAGATGATTTTTTTTATGGGTAATACACTTTCAGCTTTACTACCTTGAACTTTCTTCTCGGTGACGCGTTATATTTGTTATATTTTACCACAATCCTTTTATCTCATTGAGCTGTATAGTAGGTGGTTTTTAGTTTTGCAATATTTCTTGGCAACAAGGGAAGCAAAATTCGACGCTGTGCACTGTCACTTTAAAATGATGGGCCGCCGTTTGTTGGGTATTTTTTCACAGTATCATAGATTGAAATTAATCTTATAGTTATTAAGCTGTCATTTTACAATGCTGTTGTTAAACAGTTTTCATGACAGAATCACCCTTTAAACGTGATATCAGTGTCGAAATATACGTCAATCCGTCGCCTTGTTGTTCAGAATATCGTATTAAACAGATCCTTAAAAGTATTGCGCATTTTAAATGATATTGTCTTAATAGCTTTACGCGGGCAAACTCTTAATTCCTCTCCATCCAACTGCGAATAGACGACGCCGTTTTTTTCTAAAAATATATTATTGAAAGCCAGCCAAAACATTTGATGTAAAAAAAAACAACAAAAAAAAAAAAACAGAAGAATCATCGATGAGGTTCCTGGCCCCTCGGGAAACGGTGTCTTGGTGAAACAAGGAAACCATGCAGCTATGCCCCGTCATATACCCTTATTTTTTACCCTTGTTAGTTTTTCATACTTTCTCTCCTTGTAGAAGTATCAACTTTTAAAATTATATCGGAGCAACCTTAGCCTTTTAGTGTACTCATTCACACCTTTCATTTTCGATTGCGTCTCTGATCTTTTAATGCCTTTTTCGCTTCGAAAAAGTTGGATCATCAGAAATAAAAAGTTTTATCGTCTCACTTTTTACCTTTTCCAAATTTATCACCCGGATACTGCCTAAAATTGTGGCATTTCTTTTTAAGTATTCCCTAAAAAACATTCGCCATATGATAGTTAAGTGCAAAATGGCCTTTGGCGACAGTCGGGGACATTGAAATCTCAGACTTTCCCGCCCACTGAATTTCGCTTACTATTGTAGACCTCATTTCTGTCTGCTGGCGTGGGAGGGGGTAATTTTCCTCGCAATTTCATAACAATCACTATATTTACGCAATGTCAGTGATTTACTCAGGATTAATATTTCCCTGCTGTTGCTAAGAATGAGCATTTAAGAGGAAAACCCTCTCTTTTCGTATTTCTTTTCCCTCAAATAAGTATCAAATTCTTGTGTATTTCATAGCCAAAAACAATTTAAATATTTTAAATAGTCATAGCGCCAAACAAGAGCCATAATCCCATTATGGCTCTTGCACCAAACCATTATTTGTCCAAGGCTTATGTTGTACTCTAATAAGGCAATACTATCTTAATTATAACACCCTGGAAAAAGCCGTACACATTTCGTTTCAAGCCCAAAACCTTGTTACCTTCTAACTGTCCGTTATTATCCTGTAATCTGTCTATTTCAGTCTCCATTCTCCTTCTTGCACTCCACTCCAGATTCTCTCTTCTTCGACTCGATATTTGTAGTTCGTCGTATGCAGCGCGCATGCCCTCTAACTCACATTCAACCTACAAAATATTTTAAGGATATGCGTTTTTAGCCTACTAGCTCTTAAAAGTGTTAACGCTGATTGAGAGCTGTGATAGATGTGCTATTGAGTAAACGCATTATAACTCCTAAATCAAATTATCTGTCTTACTTGTTCCACACCATTTGGAGAACTACAAAGGTGTCGAAGTTCGAAGTCCGTCTCCTCCACACAATTTAATATCAATTTTTTCGTCTTTGATTTTTTGTTTTCAAAACATACACGATGAATCAAAGTATTTTATTGACTTATGATGATTGTTAAAAGCACTAAATAGGTTTCATACCATTTGTACGTTATTGATTTTGGTGTATACACTTTCCAACTTTTGTCTCAAAGTCAAGTTATCGCGGGATAATAATTCTACCATTTGTGTCGCTCTGGTAGCTACTTCGGACGCATGCGCAGTGGGTGAGGAATCACTTCCTGGGTCCTTGTCTTCATCATAAATGTCTATAAAAAAGGAAACAGGATAATTAAGAAATTATTATTTTCATTACTAAAAACCCGATAACATAAAGTTGACGACGTGAATCTTTGCTCCATTGTCACGAAATTGTTTCAATCGACAGTGGCTTAGTGTCTTAGTGTTTTTTCCGCTGTCTTCTTTAGGTATCAATTTACTGTTCTGGTATCCGCTGTGCTAACTGCAGGCTCCCCGGTATTTCCTCTCATTTCCCGCATCTTAACAAAAGTTGCATTTTTCACTTGTTTTGCACCAGTCTCACACTGAACCCCCACGCACCCCACCCAGCCTTGGCAATGTTTGCATGGTTTCTGTTCTATAAACTGTAATGCGAGTGGTTGCTAATTTAAAAGAGAGGACATATTTTGCTTCAATTTTCTGATTGGTTAACTGGGTTGTCGCTTGCCAGGTCCTGAAGCTTGGTGGGCTTTTCTTAAAGTTTCTGTCTGGAGCTAGAGCGTTTTAGGTCCTCTTTCCATTTTTTTAACTCAAAAACTGCAGTTTTCATATCGCAAACTGGACTAGTTTGGTTAAGTCAAGAACTAAGTTTCATGTTTTTTTTCTAAGCTTTCAAAATTAACAAAAAAATCAAAACCATTCTGCGCAACAGATGAAAGGTGAGTTTGAACATATAACAAACATTGTGTAGCCGAACAAATGACCACGTGAGATGTCATGTTATGTGCCAGGTGATATGTCACTATGTGATATCGGTACTATGTGTGGACGACGAAAACGTTCTGTGTGTCAATCATAACTCGGTTTCGTTTCATTCCCTCCTTAGCGAAAAACAAATCAACATTTTCTCTGTGTTAAGTCCTTGACCCAGGGCCAACAGCTCTTGACTTATTGACTTGTAAAACTTTAAATTTTTTTACTCACCAAAATCATGTTCCTCATCACTATCTGTAAAACTAAAGTCCCTTTCAGTGCCATCGTCAGTTGTTGTCGACTCGTCTCTGCTGTAAGCCACATTTAAAATCCTCTGATTTAATAACTCTCCATTCAAACTTGTCCGCGAACTGTACGTTGATTCCTCGTCTGAAATAGGATTTAGTTTTTCTCCTTCCTCATCGTCATCATCAAAATCGCTGACAGTTATAATGGGAGTTTGTAAAACTTGATTGTTTCTAATGTAAGTCCTTTTTGCTCCCTCCGTTGATAAAAACTGTGGGTTATTGTTTACTGGAGGGGACAACTTCGCTGTTTCTTGCAGAAGTAATTGTCTGTCATCAACATTTGTAACTTCTAGGTCATCTAAAAATAGGAAAGCGAATAAAGACCTTTACAGCTATATACTTTCTTAACACATTTTGCCTTATCTCAATTAAAAAATTCTAAACCAGTAAAAGTCCAGTGTTACCTAGCAACGGATCGTGATGTAATATCTCCATAGATGACACAGAGATGAACAATGAACTATTTTCTCAAGTTCTGAAATGGCCTCTTCTTTCAAACAAAGTTGTAAATATTTTTCAAAAAAAAAAAAAGCTCAAAGCTGCTAGCGTTTACAATTATCAGCTTAAGTCAACTTACGTTTATATGTCAATGCATTTGATACCGAGGTGATTGTTGGTAATATGTCCAAACGAAGAGTAATTTATTATTTATATTTTTTATTCATCGCGTTTATTTATGACTTGCTGCACTTTTGAAGCATAATTGCGAACCACGTTTTTAAAGTTTGATTAAACTTCCTGTTACATACTTCAAAGTAAAATATTTTTGTTCAGTGAGGTTTCATTTGTTCTTATCTACCCAGTGCGTAAAATGATCGACAAAATATCTTTTATTCAGTTTATTGATGAGCAAGATTACAGATACTAATTCTTAACTGGCTTTACAAAACCTCTCGTGACTTCAAGGATTTGCATCGAGTCGCTAATTGATGTTTTGGCCAAGCGAATTGTAATGGAGATAAAAACGAAGATAACAATCATAATGGACTTTGACTGGTTCACTGGAATACATTGTTAAGCCATTGTTAAATCCAATCCCTTTTTTTTACCAACAGAGAGAAACGAAACAATGAGAGTAGACTAATAATTAAGAAATTAGATGGACTAATGAAAACACCTTTTTAACGTTGTCGCGTTTTATAACTATTCTGTAAAACATTTAGCTAATTAAGCCCGAATAATAATTAGACGTATGCCCTGTCTATCAGGGATTAAAGAGGTCTAATTAAACGGAAGCTTTAATATTTACCACAAATGATAGTCTACATGTTCTACGAACATTTCAGTGCCGTGGGTGGGTACAAATGATGTGTCGCGGAACTTCACGTGTGGCGTTTCTACACAGTTTCCTCAGATTTATAGAGTCATATGTTTAAAACTGTCATTTCATTTGGACTCAGCTGGATACTTCTGTCCACTAAAGAGTGTTTAAGAGCATATTTAAAACTATCGTTTCAGTTTAACAGACTCTTAAGCTGCGGTTTCTGTTGTGTCAGTTGTTTATCAAGCAGAACTTCATAGCTGGCTTCATGGCTGTCAACATTGTAAGCTGCCACGGCCACGATGAAAGCACGTTGAAGTTTGTTGAAGTCATGATCGTTCATGTCACTTTAGTCAAGTATGGGCACAGGTTAAAAACTTTTTAAAGAGATCATAAACAGATATAAACACTGATAAGTTCTAAAGTTTGTTAGAACGCACCGAGCAACGTTTCGTCCATTTGCATTAAGACAGCTCCGCTCACATGATATCCTAAAAGAATAAAGACGAAACACTCACTCAGTTTGTCCTTAAACAACGAACACATATAATTGTTAAAAAGTGCGGGAGAGAGGAAAACTTCTGCATTAGCCGGATTAGTATGCAACAGTCAATATACAACTGTATACCTGAATAGTTTTCTTAAAACCGTCTCCCAAGATCACTTAATTTTCACTTCAGAATCTGCTGATTTTTGCGTAATGTAACTACCCACCGATTTCGTCATTTAAGTTTCCGTTTTGATACAGTACTTCAAAGCAAAGTTTATGATTTAGAATGTGAGAACAAGGTGCTGGT